TCTTTGTTAAATTTAAATTAATCAATAAAAACTATTTTAATTCGGTTGAATCTAAATGTGATCTGATGGCTAGTCCCCATTAACTATGCATGAAAACTTCTTTCAGTTTGCTTTTAACCCTGATCTGATCACTTATCAATAATACTTGAGAATCGATTTTGTCGTGATCATTTTTAACTAACTTCTCTCTACAAAGAAAAAGAATTTAATTCTTTAAATAATTACATGTAAGTCTATCATTAACGGTTTCTTATTCTTTCGAATTTTAGAAATTACAGTTCTTGCAAATACAAAGCAAATTGGGACATTATTTTTATATAGTAGATTAGTTTTGTCACAATGTGGATATCAAACCATTTTCCATTATCTTATGAATAGCAATTAAAATATGGTAGTTGGATATAGTGGCCCAGTTAGGAAAATAAAAAAAAGAAACCAGTCTATAAGTACGAAGAATTTTTAAAATTATTATTATTATTAATTAAACCTTAATAGCTTCTTATAAACTTTAGTTAAGTTATTTAGTTATTTTTTTTTATAAAGTAATTCTTAACTAATTTACTCATGCTTTCGAAATGGATACCGCGTTCGTTCCCAGTTAACTAAATATAACAATGTGTCGACAATCATAGGTCCACGTACCCATTTGAAGGTGTTTAAGCGAAACAAAATCATATTTGGCGTCGAGATGTGACAATGAATGATCCACCACTACTTCACGCTGGAGTCGAAACGTTATTGGTATGTCTGAACGACGAGATCTCAAAAAACGGTTTTAAATGAAGAAAAAAGTGCTGTTTAATCAAGACCGTCTCTGAGGTCGCTGGATATACTGATGAAATTGCGCGAAATACATTTCGAATTACTTCTTCTATATCCACCTTATTCACCAGATTTGGCCCCCAGTGGCTATATGTTCGCTTAGAAAAATGTTCCAGATGAAAGGTATTTACTCAATAAAGAAGCCATTGTCAAAATAAAAGCATATTTGTATTGCTGTAGAAAAAAAATATCCTAATAAATAAAGTTGAATTTTGTTAAAAAAAATGAGCAAATTTAATAGCCAACATGCTATACTTCATATATCTAGCATCTACATTCAGGACTTGTATCTTAAGCAGATCACATTTAAACACACATAGCTTCGAAATAGGCTGAAAAAAATACTTGATACTATATATGGTGAAGAAAAATTATGAGCATGAACTTGGATGATTGTATGGGTACCACAAGAATTTAACAACTATAAATAAAAAACATAATAATAGTAGGTCATGTAATTGGACCCAATGAAATCTATTATTTGAAACGTATCAAGTTGTGGCAATAGTTGAAGCTGAGTTCGTCCAAAACTAAGCTGAACTATATTGAGCTCGATATAGGAGAGTTAGGAATAAGTTGCTCAAAAACTTAAACCCATAATCATGACAAATCAAGATAGAAATCACAGAAGTAAAAGATACAAACAGAATGTTGATGGTGCAAATATTGCTATTGCATTCGTTCATAAGCCTACACATATATTTCCCATCTCACTTTGAGGCCATCCTTTAACATAAAGAACGAAAGCTTAAATTAGGTTATATTGCATTTTTATTTCTAGATATATTTCTAAAACTAAATATACAACTTTGGATTTCTTTTAAATTGTAATAGTGTATTTATGCATATAAGTATATTCATGTATAATTTTATAGATATCTCTTTCGCAGAGACTTACAAAATATTTCTCTTCGGGGATATTAAAGTAAATTTGTTTCGGAAAAATTTGTATTAAAATATATAAAAGAAAAATTTTTAAAACTTCATCGTTATATTAGCGATTTCCTTTCGTGTATGAAATTAAATTATCAATAAAAGTAGGATTTTATAAAAATGTAAAAGGATTTCAAATAAAAACCTTCGAGTTTTCATTTTGTATCAAATGTTTTGTTTTTAATCGTAAAAAATAAAATAGTTTGTCATTTTGAATGTTCGTATTACGGTTTTGTTTAAAAATTAATTGCTTTGTTTTTTTTTAATTAAAATTTTTAATATTTTTCTTACTCTTCTAAATGCTTTTGTTTTATATTTTATACGTATGATATTTTATTATTATTTTATATTTGTTATAAAACTGAAAACGGTGCTTACATAAGCTAATATCACTATTTCTACCAGCAACTTTTTTATTTCCTTTAATTTATTATATTAAAAATATTTCATTGTTTTTAAGTAGATTTAATAAAAAAAAAAATATTGTGAAAAGCGATGGAAAATAGAAAAAATTATTTACGATTTTTTTCAGTTAAAAAAAATTGAATTAATTAAAAAAGTTTTTTTTAGTAATTAATTTGGCAACCTTTAGAAGGAAATAATATTGCACATAAACTAAATATATAAAAATTAGCTTTAACAGATTCTTTGGCACATAAACTTAACTAATATTGCACTTAGAAAATGATACGAATCGATCTGGCAACCATTGCTCAACAGGGACTAAGACTTCTCCAAGGACTTTAAGCGAAATATTTTAGAAATTAATTAATTAACTAATGAAAATTAAGCATCATTATGTTATTTGATAAGACACGCAATTTCTAAACTGAATAAAAAACAAAATTTAATTATATTGTTTGTATAAGACATAGTAATGGGCGTAACCATGAGAGTTCATGCTCCAAATCCTTCTTAACTGTATGCCTAAAACAATATTTTATTAAAATAAATGAATGAATCCCAAGAATGGTGTTAACCTAAAAAGCGAAGTTATGGCATATGTTAGATGATTTTGAATGTTAGAGTCCTAACTGATCTGATGTGATGAACTAAGGAGCGAAGGTATGGCTTGGATTAGATAAATTTGAATTTGAAAAATCTATGTCCCATTCTAGAAATATCCATAGACATTGTGGCTATATAGTGCTCAGGTAATGGAAAATATATATTAGCATCAGTTTAGTTACATTGCTACTGGAACTTCACACTACTTTGAACATAAGTTCCAAGACAACATATATAAAATGTGTCGAATATTTAGTCGTATCCTAAATTTACTATTGATAGCAATTATCTAAATATATTTTATGAAAAATTTATTTTCAAATCTTTCAAATCTATTTATTATTATTATGTTGAGGCTAATTGAGTCAATGCATTTGAGCACTTTACTCTGTATTAACAGCGAGGTTTCTTTATAACCCTTATCTATGCCTTGACTGGATTATGTTTATCACTTCATCAGACTAAGCAATAATTGACAGCAAATTAACAAAACTCTCGGTTGAAACATACAAGTCAAGTACAACTTTGGGTCAGCTATATAATTAACACTTACTCTGACTCTAATACTGAAACTGTACCCTGAAATTTGGCGGAACATAAGTCCAACCCTTGGTACTTGTAGACTCAAAAAATTATTTTATTACAAATAATTATACATAAGATTAAATTTTAAAAGACCACTGATGATGTGTATTTGGCAATACTCGAAACAATTGTATGGTCAAATCAGTTAAATAAAAATAATAAAATTTTGTTGTTACAATTCACCACTGTTCGAAAAACCTTCTCAATAAATTAGAGAATGATATTTCAGTGTACAATTCTGGTTCCGATATTTCAACTTTTTAATATAATCCAAACATATGACTAATCTAACTTCTAGTTCTAATAGTTTGAATTATTTATGCAAATTTAAGTGTTCTTATTTGCTGAATATAGTAATTACTTTATTATTATGAAAACAGTCCTAAGTTTCTTAAGAGAACCATCTCATCTTATCTGAGAATCAAAACATCATAAGAGAACGACTTGATCTTCTTTTAGGATCTGAACTTCTTAAGAGAACAACTTAATCTTATTTGAGACCCTAAACTTCTTTTAAGATTAACATCATCTTATCTGAGAGCAACATGATCCTATCTTAGATATTAAGCTGCTTAAGAGAACAGCCTGATCTTATTTGAGATCTTAAGTTCTTAATTAAATAGCCTGATTTTATCTGAGACTCTTAATTTCTTATAAGAATAACATGATCTTATCTGAAATTCTTTTCTTAAGACAGGCTCCTCTTATCTAAGAAGGAAGACTTTAAGCTTTCTGGACGCTCGTAATTGATACATGAATGTAAATTGAAAAGTATGTAGGGAGAGAAGAAGAGAGAGGGAGGGAAAGGTTGAGGGGAAAGAGAGAGGAAAAGGTTGAAGAAAAGCCAGAAGAAAGGAGGGATGGACATAGATAGAGCACTCCTTTTCTTAAGACAGGCTCCTCTTATCTAAGAAGGAAGACTTTAAGCTTTCTGGACGCTCGTAATTGATACATGAATGTAAATTGAAAAGTATGTAGGGAGAGAAGAAGAGTGAGGGAAGGAAAGGTTGAGGGGAAAGAGAGAGGAAAAGATTGAAGAAAAGCCAGAAGAAAGGAGGGATGGACATAGATAGAGCACTCCAGTTCTTTACGGCTCCATAAATCTATGAAATAAAGAGATTATTTTATTCTTGTCTTTCGAAACATTTTTTCTTCAAGACAACATTCCATTTCATATAGACAGAATGAGATATCAACTCTATATAATCAACAAATTATAAGATTTTTACAATATTTTCTTTCATTAAATCAAAATATTTTCTTCGCCAAGACGGCATATACATCATGAAATATTTTTCAACTAATTTTGTTAATTTTGCTTAAAATTGACAGTCGTATTTCCTTCATATTGCCATATTCGGAAAGATATAATGTCATTGAGTATTAGGAGAGCTTAAAGTACAGTTATAAGTATAGTCCTCTAATAAATGTTTTACAATGGTTACCATAAATAAAATATACTATAATTGATTGAAGAACTACATGAATGATCCTCAATATAATTTTTCCATAAGTAATTAAGTGTTAAGCTCTTAGAGCAGCGATTTAAAGTATTACGAATGCATTTTTTGGTTTAATTTTTTTCGTTAAAATTATGTAAAATTAATCAACAAATCTTATGATATTTAAGCTTAAGTCTAAATTAGTGTCTTTATATGAAATTTAAATATATGCGATGATGTACGAGTATTTGATACGAGTACGTAACATATACCTCAGTATTATTATAGTAAACATAGCAGTAGAGTTGGATGATAATATATCGTCAGATTAGTTTACTAAATTAGTATTTTAAGTTTTGCTTTGCGTATAATTAAAAAGAAATTAGAATTGCATAAACATTTGTTTTTTTTTCTTTTTTTGTTGTAAATTAATTAAATACTAAATTGCAGCACAACTGCAGGAGCGCACTTTAAGGATATTCCATCATAAGAGTGCATTTCGCTTATAATAGCTAAGGATTACAATAATGAGTTTATTATGTTCATAAATGGTTAAGTAGAGATTTGTGTTATATGTTGTGATATTGTCTGGAAGTTCACTACTGTTTTTTTTTTGCTTCTTACTTTTTTTACTAATATTAATATAGTCTTGCTTTGCTGTTGTAAGAATTAAGTTTTTGTCTTATTGTTTTATATTGTTTTAAAGCAATTGCGCTATGACTGGTTCTATTAAGCACATGTGTTCGGCACCGCGTACTGGCAAGCGATTTAAGCAGAAGTGTCTTATCATATCGGGGACTGTCTCGAAGGGGCGACTAAATTGACCAAGTATATACTGTCCATTTTCGTTGCGTTGAATTCGCATATGCATAAAGCCTTTAGCACCTCTGAAAGTGAATATGATGCACTCAATGATTAAAAATATTTTTTTCTATATTACATTTAGATACTTACTTTAGTGAGAGCGAATAATCTTGTTTGGTTGATTCGCAATTACGCACCAGAAAGCTACCTTCATTTAGAGGCCGCAAAGTAGTTTCAGCTTCGATGCGAGTTATCGCTCCATGATACCAACTAAATTTATGTAATAATGATAATTATTGCTAAAACGTATTATGAACATTGTGAATTACCCTTGACGTTCGAGCGGTATTGATACATCTATTAGATCTACAGCTGTTGACTGTGATAAGTTTAGGTTGAGTTCCTTTGTGGAGGAAAGGCCACGTAAGTCCAAGCTGCCAAATTTATTCACCTGACGTGGTTCATTTAAATTTAATGTGAGATTCTGACGAAAGATGACGTTATCTGAAAGGAATATAAAAGAAATATTAAGATTATTTAAATGAAAATAAAGATAGCAAGAAATAAGTAAGATTTGCTTTGTTTAAACTTATAGATTCTTTACACAAAGTTATGAAAAATTGAATTATTAAAGTTTTAAGGTAAAAATAACAATTGGTGTCTCTATTTTAAGAGACAGAAGGTTAACAGAAGTTATAAGAGTAGAAGGTTAATGATTATGGTTATAGTTCCATTCTAAATTTTTACGGTCTTACTCAAAATAATATTAACTACATCACTGTCTTTTTCAATTTCGACAGGAAGTTTGATATCGATTTTTCATTTAGCAACAAATGGCTGTCGGGAGAGCTTTTGCAAGAAAAGGGTTGAACCATATAAAGTGATCGCTCAAAAATAGGTTGCGGTGTAGGCAGTGGATTTTTTCGGAGGGAGTGAATAAATACATATATTATAGTCATCCTGGTCACTTCAGGTAGAAGAAAACGCTATTAGTAAAGCGATCACTTCCTATTATTCCTTCCTATTATTATAGGAATGAAATATATTGACAAGATATTATTCTATTATTGAATAGGAATATATATAGATTATCAGATGTTCAGCTTGTTTCTAAGTCCCTGAATATTGAATGCAAAGTTCCGTAATAAAAACTATATTTAAATTTGTTTTTTGGCAGATACTCAAGGAGAAACCTTTGAAAAATGAAGTAGTAATAGTTTGAAAACCTCAGAGATGTATGAGCAGTACTATATCTTAATTGTTTTCATATATCAAAACGTACAAACAGATGCAGTAGAATTTGTATTATTAATTAATTTTTAATATTCTTGGAAAATTATGTGCCCTCATCACATTCGTTAGGTTCCTTTAATTTCTTAATGGCACATAAATTTAAAACTCTTCGTATTATTACGAAGAGATACTTTGAAGTCTTAATTTACACATAAGGATTTTATAATACCAGATATAGAATAGGATTAATATACGAGCAATTATGGATATTGGATTTTATAATACCAAATATAGAATTGGATTAATATACGAGAGATTATTGGATTATGGATAAAAAGCTACTATGAATATTAATTTGAAATTGTTTCATCATCAAGACACACATTTTGAGGCATCGTTAAAAGAAGAATGTCAAGAGGAATTATTGTGGGAAATGTAGAAAGAATTTAATAGGTGTTCGTTTTTGATTTTTCTTATTCTCCACTCCAAAATCTAATATTTTTTCTCTAAAACAATCATGGAATAGTAATAATCTTGAACAAGACTGCTAGACATAATATGTGTATTCGTAGAAAAAATTTTGCTCGGTATCTTCGTTATGCCAAGGACTTAAATTAGGGTTATGTGAAGAGATAACATCACTAAGAATAGAAATGTTTACAAAACTAAACTTCCAAATAATTAAATTTATAAAAATCCAATAAATTTTTATGAGTTTTCTAATATAACAAAATCATTTACTGTTGTTGTTTTCTTTGCTACTATGACAGAATTTGGAAACTTTCTCAATATCAACACTTCATCTCTATCCCTTAAATGAATTCATAAACTGTTGTCTAGTTAATCCCTTTGTTGACTTGAGCTTACACATCCATTAATCATCAATAACATTTGTGCCTAATTCGTTCAATAAATGCGAATGCGACAAGTAACATATGCGTAGCTTTGTTTGGCAGAGTTCAAACATTCCCTCGTACTCGTATCTATGGTTCGCAAATTCTTATCATAGGCATATTGTGCGGAGCAGCAATTCCATGGTTTGGGGTTAATTAAAAAGTTTCGAATGCCCGAGCTTTGACCATTGTTAGAATGTTTAATTTATGGTTTTATGTGCGTTCCAATATTCTATAACTTTTCACTGCAACAGCAAAAATCGTTTGGATGACAGTCTGAGTGTGGGGTTGCTCATTGTATTCAGCTTGCGGTTGCAATGGCTTTTCGTGCAAAAACTGATTTTATGTTGATTTAGCTTGTTTTCACAAAAATAATTTTCTTTACCCTTCACATAGTATATTGCTTTATATCACAACCCAGAACGGTTATAGTTTAAATTGATGGACATGAATGCATTTGCGGACAGTTTATTCCGAAAATGAGCTTCCGTAAGCTGCAGTGTGTTTTAATGGATATAAAATGTGCACTTACCTAACTTCATGGCGGCTTTGTTGTCATCACGCATTGAATGGCTGGACGATGCTTGAGATATGCCACTCGACTCAGTGCTGTGTACCATGAGATTATTTATTTCCGTTTGATTGGCACGTAGTCGGCGTCGTAACTTCGGCATGTCAAAGGGTAGATCACCTAAATCCACAGAAGTTGCACTACCAGAAGTGCAAGCATCCTGCATATATATTAGACAAATTAAACAAATTTTTAAATGAAAATAAATATTTATGTGTTACTCACCTGCTGTAATGTTTTTCTGCGTCTTAACTTTGGCATATCGAATGGAAGATCACGTAAATCTTGTGGTAGCCCAACACTATTGCTCATTCCCCCGACTGCGCTCATGCCACTATCGTTGGTTTTATCGGAAGGTGGAAAATTTAATTTTGGCAACGTAAACTTTTGAAAACCAATGGCAGATTTTCCATCCTCACGTGAGTGCAAAGATATGCCACTATCCGAACCAAGCATTTCATCAGTTAAGTGCAATAATGTTTTATTTGCTGGTGCTCTTCTCTTCTTGAGTGCATCAATTTGTAATTGTGGTATAGTGCGTGCCATATCCACATTTGCTGCTAATACATGTGTTTGTTGTTGTTGTTGTAGTTGCTGTTGTTGTTGCTGCTGGACTGCATCTTCAGGCGTTGTGTTTTGTGTTTTATTCTGTTCTGATAGTTCTGATGCCGGCTCTTGTGATGATTTGTCTGAAATCGGACTTAGGATATGCAATTTGGAATGAATGACAACTGGCGCTCGTAATGGGAATGCGACGCTCGAGCTGCCAGATTCAGAGCTATGTGAACTCAACGATGTTGAGTGCCTTGACTCTGAGCTGGAAGTACTGCGATTGCCTTCGCTGGTGCTCGAACGCAACGATTCCATGCTGCCACCACTACTCGATGTGGCAATGCTTTCGGTCGAGGAGTAATTATGCTGCCTTCGACCGCCATTTCCTACATGGTGGTGGTGGGAAGCGTGGCTTTTACGTAACTCCAGCACTCGTCCAGACTCGAGCACAAATGAACGTGGCCTGTCACGAGTTCTGGAGTTGCTTGTCGATTGAAGATGTAAATGATGTGATGTGCTTGATGGTGGATTCACATAAGCGCTATCTGTAAGGCTGTTCTCATTACTGGTGCCGATTGAAGAGCCCAGAGCATGTTGTTGACGTAGTGTTGTTTGTATTGGAAGACGTAAATCGCGTAATCTAGGATGGGCTGGATTGGAAGATGGTAGATTTGGTGCACTCTTAATGCTATTCATAAAAAATCGATCATGCTTTCCCGGAAATTTTATAGGCAGCGGTGCTGTAGATGGTGGCGATGGTGTATAACCACGCATTGGCAGTTGTGATGAGGATGTGCATGTAGTGGTTGTATTGTTTTGTTGATCCACATTTTGCTCATGTATATGAGCATTGGCCAAATCATTAGAAAGTCCGGCGATATTGTTCTTATCAGCTGTACAAGAATTGTTAGTAGTTACACAAGTTACGGTTAGTGGTGAACCACTGCTGCTACCGTTGCCGGAGTTAGTAGCTTGTTCTTGTAGAGCTTGGTTTTTTGAGTTTTTTAAACGTTTACCTTCTAGACGACTTTTACTGTGCGATGATTTTGTTGTGCGCACTTCTTTTGTGGGTAAATTATTGCCATTATTTAATTGTATGAGTACTGAGTGATTAGTTATACGATCGACTTCGTCTAAATCATCATCTGACTTAGCTATTTTGCAATCAAAAGCAGTTTCATAAATTTGACGAGTGCGACCTGACATCTCGTCGTCGTCTTCGTTTAAACAGTTATCGGATTGATTATCGAGAACACTGCGAGAGTTTGCTGTACTCAATTGTTTATTGTCCGGTGAGCAGTCTTCACATTCATGCACGCCTTGTGGATGTACATAAAAAATACTACGTGGTCGAAAATAATCATCTATATCATCGCCAATAGTGGGTGCAACGCATGCACATACTGCAGGTCCTAGCAGTCTATGTGGCGGCATGGACAATAAATCTTCCTCAAATGGCACGCAATTAGAGTTTTCGTTATCGTGATTACAATCAATGGGAGCACCACTAGTGTTAACGGCGGTATTTAATGGTTGTACGTTACAAGTTTTACGTACTAATGCTAAGGCTTTAGCATGCCACTCACGACGCTTCTGACACTCACTGCAGTCCGATTCTTCTGATGTAGATGTTGAGGGAGACTCGCAGCGTATAATATGAACACCGTCTTCAGTGAAGGAATAACGTTTAGGAGTGTCGTTAGCAGCTAATATGGTACTGTTTGTTGGTTCGGTTTCTTCGAATTCGTCGTCTTCTTCGGCACGTTCTTCGCGTTCGGGTACGTCGAGACTGGTACTCTTACGATAAACACCAATATTAACAGGCGGTTGTGTTAATTGCGGTGGTTCAGAAACAGTAGATTGCCGACTTTTGTTTTTAGTTTCTTTGTCAGTGACACTAGACGCAGTTTCTTTCGACTTCAATAAATCGGAATAATAATATGGCGACGGATTACGTTTACTAGTTTCAGTAGGTGCAACAGCTAGTTTGCGTGGACTGCGGTGCGATTGTGGTGGCAATGGGCGTACTAGATCATCCGATATACTATCAGGTGAATTAAGTTCAGGAACTTTTATGGAATGGTTATCGTCTTCATCATCTGATGATTTTGGTGCAGATGAATCTGAAAGTAAAATCGATTTGAGAAAATAAGATAATTAGATTTTATTTTACATAAAATTTAAATTAAGTGGTTAAGCCTGAAGCTGAAGTGTGAAATTGATTTAAGAGGTTCATTTCACGCCAGAATGCTTAGCGGCGTATTGTGAAATAGAATAAGCGCAAAAAGGACTTGCGACAAATTAAAGTAATTACATTCCATCGCTCCTTGTAGTCCTTAACCGCGTTTGCTTTACTGCAGTATGCAAATAACAAAAAGCAAAAGTGTTGATTCGCCACTGAAGTTGTTTGCAAACTTTCTATTCGCTATTTTATTTATTAGTTGCTGCAATCTTAAAAAGTTTTAAGAATAAAGTAAATTCCATTTTGGAATTTAAAATTAGTTCTGTTCGTTACGAAGTGCTTTTGCTATCCTCAACAGATCACTCCATCACTCAACAGTGAGGTCTAGCAAAAAATCGTCTTTATTGCTTGAAATTGTTTATGAATGCAGAAGGGCATATGAACGATATAAAAAACTACACACGTGCGGCTAATTGCCCCCAAAAAGGGCTTGAGCTTGGATTTTTTTAACAACCCTGCTTTAATGAAACCCCCATTTGCTTTTCTGCAAAGCAATTTGGCTTCGAGTGGCGATTAGTACCTCGCTATGGTGCCCACTTACCTGAACTATAATTGCTCCGCTTATCTTTTTGGAAACCCTTGGGTTTTACTGGCAATTGCAATTGTTGCTGTGGTGTTGGTGTTGGCGGTTCCTGCTGTTGTTGTTGTTGCTGTTGCTGTTGCTGCTGTTGTTGCTGCAGCTGTTGTAGCTGTAAAAGCTGATTTTTATGTGAAGCGCGTCTTTTACCTTTTTTATGATGGACTTTTTTATGACGTTTCGTATCTTTCGGATCCGAATAGCCTTCGATAATTTTTACCGATGCTTGCTTAATAGTATTCGGTAAGGGCGGATGTGGTAGACGATGTTGATTTCGTTGATTTTGCGATTTTAATTGTGTTGTTAAATGTTGCTGTTGCTGTTGCTGTTGTTGCTTATGGTGCTTATTTTGATGTTGTAAATGATGTTGTTGCAATGTTGTTGCATGCTTTTGTTGCTGATGAAATTGTGGTTGCTGTAAAGTGTGGTGTTGTTGTTGGATTGGAAGTGTATTGTTTGGTGGTAATATGTTAGCAACTGACACAATATTTAAAGTTGCATTCGCAGTTGGTAATGTAGATAAGGGAGCTGTTGCTGCTGCTGGAGGTGGTGGTGGTAGTGGACCTTGTTGATGTTGTGGCAATTGTTGTTGCTGCTGCTGCTGTTGTTGCTGTTGCTGTTGTTGATGATGTTGATATTGGTTTTGCTGTTGTTGGGCTTCAGCAAAAGCAATCTGAAAAATTGAATTAAAATTAAAATAAAAATCTTTCATTGCTTCATGTTCTAATTAAATTTTTTTCTAACTCAATTATAACGAGGTAACCAAGCAATTATTTTTTGCTGTTGCCCTGAATTAAATTTAAATGTTTTCAGGCAATTTTTTATAAAAAAAAAATACAATATTATGCTACTTTTCCAAAAGAAGAGAATTCATTTGTAAAACGAGACGCCAAATGGAAAAAAATTAAGGATTTCACACTTTGTGTACAGTTGAATGAAAATATTGCCGCTGGCAACGCTTTAATGTGTCGCTCCCGTTCTTTCGATTGCAGTGTAAACTTGCCAACTCGTAGCAAAAAGTTCGAATAAAATTTTGATTTCATCCTGGCTGTGCTGGTACCAAACAAATTTTGTAAATTATGCCTTCTTGTAGAGTCTCGATTCCTTTGCCAGTTCTCATTGCTATTAAATAGCACAAAATAATTTTTGTTAATATATGCGAGGAATGAGGGGAGAATATTAACAAAATGAAGTTAGGCAAGAACACTTTAACATTTACGGTAATTAAAATTATGCTTTGCATGTCACTTGCTTAATTAAGTAAAATGTTACGAACGTAAAATTGAGTATCGCCTGAAGATAAATTTTTAAAATATTCACTTTTTTAGAAGAAATATTACTCGTTATGTATGTGTATGTAGCTTTATATTTCAGATACATGACGTTATCCAGTTACATGGCATTAATATTACAGAAAGAAATAATTTAGAAGGTGAGAAACTTATTAGGACAGGTGCAAAATGCGTTTAGAGTATATAAAATAAAGGAAATATTGAATGTCTTGTTAGATATGGGCTTTGTAGTATTAAAAGAGATCAATATTTTATGCCGAAGTTGACATGACACTGAAAGATGGAATAGGCTCTATAATGTACTATTAGGAAATCTGTCAGGAAGTTACAGTAGCTTAGTAATATTATCTGTTTAAACCTGAGTGGAATGATAATAACAAACTAAATTGTCAAATCATAAGTATTCTGGACAATTGTTAAGACACAGTATTACATCTCTTGCAGAACGAAAGACAATGAATTTTACAAACAAATGCCAGATTTCAAATCAAATATATTCATCACGTTAAAAATATTGCCAGATTAAGAAAAACAACGTGTAATCTGCCGGGGTTGGGTTGGGTTAAGAGGCGACGCAATTTTTTTGAATGATATGTTTATTATAAGTTTGTCAACTACGATTATAGTTTACTGTCTGTGAGTAGGGGGAAAAGTATATAATTATTATATTACATAAGCTCTCTAACGAATTTCTTCAAAAGAATAAAGGAAAGGAAAGGAAACTAAATTCCAGCTCAAGTGTCAGTGTGCATTGTTCACTAAGTCAAAAACCGTGCTAGATATAAAATGAACTATCTCACGAACTTTAAAGCAGTGTAATACTATTGACTGTCTAATGGTATGAATATATTCCTTTTAAAAATTTTATCCAATCCTAGCAGAACTATAGGTTTCTTAATAAATGACCAGGAAAATAAAAAGATTTATTCAGTCCTTTCAAAAAAATGCCACTATCTACACATCCGCCTACTTTTAGACCACTAGCAAAATATGGTGGTGATATAATCATTAACAAATGGTTAGGTGCTTTTTTAATGAGGGACCTCCAGGTGTCTAAAAGAAGACGTGACATTAATTTAACATTAACCAATCAAAGTTAAGAATGCGACAGATGTAATCAATATGTTTTGAAGTAGAAATGAAAAGATTTGAAATGGTGCTGTGACCGTAGCCACCGCATGAAGATGTGTTACTCAACGTTTTATCAATATAGAGTTCAGCCTAATGCTGCACTCTGTTGAAGTAACATATAATACGAAGATTTGTCTAAGGATTTCCGTCATACTATGATGCTTTACAACAGTATATAAATTTGTCTTTCTCCATAAATTGCAGAACAGAATCTCGTAAAGTAGTTACAGAAAAAGTAGGAACCCTCTGCTATCTGGTTAAACTCGGTTATTGGTAATAACTTAATTTATTTTTTTTCTAACTCAAATAATACTCTAATTCAGTTACACTAGGCTGTATCGATTAAAAAAACCTGATACAAATGTAAAGCCACTTGATGACGATATATAAATATCAAGATGGGAAGTTAATACGGTTGACGTGGAGACAATAAAGTTGTTGTCAAATTTCTTTATGATTAATTTGTCATTATACCACATAAAAATCTATTTTACATATAATGAAATAAAACAATATATTTTGACATGTAATATGCTACTTTCCTCGTCAATCAATGAAGTAATGAATATGATAAGAAGTGCAGACAGTTTACATATCATATGTCCTTTCGTCTGCAATGTCAGTTTCAGTTTTACGTAAATACCTTTCTCTCTTGCTATTGTCAGAAAAGCGCAACACATATAAAGCCTTTTAATAAAAGCCTACTCGAACGTGCAACATTAATATAAGCAACACAATGGGAAGCATTCTTATTATCATCATTATTAACATCATTATGATAAAACTTCGTCAATAACAGCAGGAGAGCAACAAGAAAAAGAACACTAAAAACCATTCTTAGTAGCATCATCATCATCAGAATCAGCATCAGCGTCAGCATCATCACCATAGCCATCGTCATCGTCGTGCACTGTTAAGTCAAAAACTTAAACAAATGTGCTACCAAAGCAACCAAAAGTATGGAAGCAAAAAAACAATGATACCAATAACAAAACATAACAAGAAAGCGACTAAACAGTCGAGATAGACCAACCGACCGACTGTGTACCATGTTTTAATATTCAACCAACCGCAGCACGAGAGCTTCATAATTTATAGCATTTCTTTGGTTGGGGTTTTGAATACTTTGCACTACATTTATAAACACTCACCTCCCCACCGGGTGAAGCAAATATGGCGTCACCCACCGTTAGTGGGTTAGTGAGGGGGTGCATGTTGTGTATATGCACAAAAGCGAGAACAACTCCAATGGCAAACAACAACAGTAAACAGTAACAACATTTTTGCACCGCTGCCAACACAACTGAATTTTGTACTCGAAATGAGTTCCGCAAATGGTGACAATGACGAGTTAAAGCAAAATAAATACAACAGCTCACGTATGTGAAGTGCTGGAATAAAGCACATAAGGCACATAAGGCCCTCACACAAATACAGTTTAAGCAGAAATAAATAAAAATGACTGATGTACATTTTAAGCTTGAATTACTTAAAACGGGGCTTTGGTAAATGGCAACAAATGCAACGACAACATATGTGCTCTCACCTTGGCGTGCCCTACCCCGCGTATCAGGGACTGTGATATTATTTAAGCATTGTTTTATTTTGCTCATTTTTTCTAATTATCCACTAAAAGAGTAATTTTTTCTTTTTTTTTTTTTTGTTTTGATTTACTACATTGAAATTGTTTTATAAAGTATTTTTTAATGATATGAAATTATGCACTAAAATATAAATTCATATTGTTGAGATATGCTCAACAAAAACATTTAAAGTATTATTAATACTGCTTGAGCGGAATTAAAAAAAATTTCAAATATTTTTAGAAATATATTAAAAACTTATACTGCATTTTTATATGAAGCGTATTTTTTGTTAGAGAATAATGCTTTTAATTCATCTTCTTCAAATTTTCTGGGATGACCAAAACGTTCTTTATCACTGATATCAAAATCTCCACTTTTGAATCGTTTAAACCACTTAACGCATAAAACATATATGGATTATGCTTTCAGGATTATTATAATTCAATTTTAATAAAAAAATGACATCATTTTAAGATGTAATTATCAAAACTAAACTATACATCCAATAGATATATTCTAATGCCAAGAGTTTTATTTACATATGTATTAATTCGATAAGTTATCATACTGAATTTTTTTGACAGTCTCCATTTAATGTTCGAAACGTTGGTTCCTAATCAAAGAAGAAAAACTTTTAAAAGATATGGGATTTATATTCTATATTTCATAAAAAAGTATTAAAAATAAATAAATAACATATCAACATTCTGACAAAATCACCACCACGTCAGATTCAAATGGCTTGCAAAACAAAACTGAATTGATAGTTCGAAAAAAACATCTGAGTCTGTTCAGATGAAAGATAAAAAGTTTAAATTGTATATATATTTTGTGTCTTTTACTGGGCAAAAGGTCTCGCTTTTCAAAACTTTTCACCCAAACTGTATAATGTTTCTTATAATATGTCATAAGTTCAGGATATATCTCTTTGATGAGTCTTTTTTTTAATGATACAATACTTTAGTCAAACCAATCGGGACAAACGACGTCCAACTACGAGGCTATTCTGTCAATACAGCCAACAAAATTCAAAATCATTCGCTTCAATAAGTGGTATCCCTGTTATATAAAAGAAATAAGAAAATCCACGTGGACTTTAGAATTCCCTTTTTCAAAGACGAGTTAAACAATACCAAGTGTAATCACATAAATATACTGGAAGAGCATCCCAAAAATAACTTCGCACACGCTTCCAATACTCTAATAATAAGTTGTTCCAACTTATTATAGAAAATTCGAAGAAATTGATATTAATAAATCATATAACGTGAAATGGTGGCATAAAAACAGTTTTATTATGTATTATAGTATTGTAAAGTCTCTAAATATAATTTATATACAAATGTCTTTAATAATTACTGTTAAGTGAGTGAGAAGTCTTGTAATTGATCAAGTTCTACGAGAAAGGGGGCTCCTAAAGTATTGAGTCGCTGCCGTGCAAGAGCTGAGCAAGAACAGAGTTGTTGAGATGCGCTTTCATCGTCTTCGTCACAGTTGCGTCAGGTATGATTGAAAGGGAGATTCAATCATTCAGCATGGATCCCTAGTCTACAGTGACCTCTAAGTAAACCTACCAAAAGACTATTATCTCTACAGGGCATCTCAATGCAAATATTGTATTTCCTTCTAGTGGAAAGTGGCCAGATTGCATACAGATGCCTGCA